GGCTGGGTCTGGCTGCAACACCAGCCAGTTCACATTAGAATCAGGACTGTGGGCTGACAGCACCAGACCGGGAGGCAGCTCCAGACAGCTAGAACAGGGGCAGACAAGACTGGGCTAGGTTAGGCTATAGCACCTGCCAGCAAATGCCGAGGTGAGATGGGCCATACCAGACTAGGCTGCAGCACCCACCAGTGCACAAGAGACTGGGGTGGGGGGTAGGTGAGCCTGGTAGGGGAGTAGTGGGGTCTCCACTATTGGGCCACTGCTCATGCTCGTGAGCATGAGAGCTGAGACTGGGGGCCAACCAGGCTTGGCAGGGCTAAAACACCTGTTAACCAATGTGAACTGGGTTACGGGCAGAGATAGGCAGGGGTAACTGACTGTATGCACTGTTACAGGCATGAGCTAGAATAATGGCAGGCTGGTTGGGTTTTGCACAGAATCAGCTGGCAAGTGCTGAGACTTAGGCCAAGTTCAGTTGAGCTAGAATGCAGAACCACCTGAAGAGTACAATATCCAGGGTAGGGAGTGGGTCCAATGGGGAGGTTGTGGGCTCATCTTGCAGGAAGCAAGGGTAGAACAAGCATCACTCCTTGGTTAGTAAGGCTATGAGGAGTTTCTGGCTGTATGGTAAGGCCTGACAGAATGTCTCTAATCACCTCATTGCTGCCTGACCCCATTGTATGGACACTTGGTCACCTCTTTGATATTTCATGTAATTCTCCTGAAGGTGTTGTTTTTCTGCCGATGTGAAATGATTTCTGTAACTGGTTTAATACTGGAAACTGATTTTATCAATCATGTTATGGTAAAAGGGTCTTTAGCAACTAAAGGCAATGAGACACAGCTAAAAGCATCCAGTAGCACAACCGAGTCTATATTGTTCCCACATGTTTTATTGTGTGCCCACTTTTGACTTGGAACTTACTCTAAGATGTATGATGCTCTCCATAAGAAATGGCTTGATAATATCTTGGAACAGATGGCGATCATGGAGGTAAAAAGAATTTGTTTACTGTGCAGCCTCGAACTGTTACAACACATGAAATGATGCATTTTGGCTTCCTGCCACGTAAAGCAGAAAATAAATGGGGAAACTTCTAAAGAGAGACAAATGTGGTAAGCCCCCAGAGGAAAACGGTTTAAAATTTCTATTTTATATTAGCACTTATATTTAGGGAAAAAATAGTTTGAAAAGATTAAAAAAAAGTTTTTTAAAGGCCCTCCCTTCATAGAAAGGCTGACTGGCCCTAATCCTTTTCACTGTCTTTTAACAAAAGAGCAAAAAAACAACGGAATCAGTGCTAGGTGAAGGTGATGGTAATTAGCAAATGATTGATTTATTTAATAAAGACCCTATTATATATGCCTTTATAAATTCCTTTCATTTATAAACTTTAATTCTGTATTCTTTTTTTTTTATTTTTTTATTTATTTTTATTACAAAGTCAGATATGCAGAGAGGAGGAGAGACAGAGAGGAAGATCTTCCATCTGATGATTCAGCCTCAAGTGACCACAACAGCTGGTGCTACACCAATCCAAAGCTAGGAGCCAGGCACTTCCTCTAGGTCTCCCCTGCGGGTGCAGGATCCCAAGGCTTTGGGCCATCTTCGACTGATTTCCCAGGCTACAAGCAGGGAGCTGGATGGGAAGTGGAGCTGCTGGGATTAGAACTGGCACCCATATGGGATCCTGGTGCGTTCAATGCAAGGACTTTAGCCGCTAGACCACTGCGCCGGGCCCAGTTCTGTATTCTTGATAGCTTAAGTAATATTAGTTTATGTTTCGTGAAAATTGGTTTTGGATATGAGTGAACCACCTGTCACTATGTAACTGCATGTGCTGCCAACTGCGGATTTCCTGGCTTCAGCTGGGTGACTACAGGTTGAACAAGTAATAGTTTGCTGAAAATGTTTTCTTTGAAGTAAAATAATGTGTTTTAGAATTGTTTTTGTAACCATTCTTTTAGCCACGAAGAAAAAGTGAAAGAAATAAAGAAGTCAGCTTTTTTGTGTTGTGCATTATGAGTATCATGCCGTAGCTGTCCACGTCTCTTCTTTACTTCCGATTCATGCACCCTTCCTGAGCTCAGAATAGCTGGAGCTGGTCTCCGGCATTCTCTGATGGGCTGCAATTCCCACTGGTGAGCATGAGAACCAGACTGGGGGTAGGCCTGGTTGGACATGTGGTGCACCCGCTGGCATGAGTATGGGCTGAAGGGTAGAGTCGGTTGGGTTGAGTTATACTTCAATGCCCAATGATGTATATAAAATCTAAATGGGACATGGGGTAGACTAGATCAGTCAACTACACACTCTGGCAGGCACAGGAACCACGGCCTGGCGGGGGGGCGGGGGGTCAGTCCAGTGGGGGTTCCTGGGAGTCGCTCTGACTGGGCTGTAGCTCCCCCTTTGGTACATGGGGGCTGACTGTGTATTAGTTAGGACTGGGTGGGCTAAGACATAGCACCCATTGGTTTGCTGAGGATGGAGGGCAGAACAAATTGATCAATTACCCCAGTAAAGCTTGACAGCAAATTTCTGTGTCAATGGAGACTTGGAGGTGGAGTATGAGACCAATTGACCTTGGAAGGATTTCCACATCCTTGGAGTGGCAATATCAACAACATCTCAGAATTATTGAAGCCACATGAGCAGAACCCTCAAAGAAATGTTCCATAATGGGGAACTTGAGATGACACTGAGTGGCAGTTTTCCATCCCCCAGGTAATGTGGCAGTTGGGAGGCTGGGCATGGTTTCTCCTCTTGTATCTCCCTTTCCCCCATACAGGAAGAAAAAAAGAAAATGTGTAAACAAGGGTTTCACCCACTACCCCCTGATCCTCAACCCTTCCTACCCTGGTCAACTGTGTAAACACTATCAAAAATAAAATTTAAAAAAAATTCAGAAAAAGTGTGTAAATAATAATAAAAAAAAATAAACCAAGACATTGAATAGAAACTGCTCTACTTGAACAGCTTTAATAAAAAAAAATAAGTAAGTAGAGGCAAAGATGTAGAAAAATTGGAACCCTCATACATTGCTGGTGGAGTGTAAAATGTTGTAGCTATTTTCCAGAAGAGGTAAACATAGCTACCACATGAGGCAGCAATCTTACTCCCAGGTATGTACCCAAGAGAAATAAAAACGTATTTCCAGGGAAACTTTCACACAAATGTTCACAGTAGCATCAGTCATGATAGCCAAAAAAAATGTACCCACTTTAATATTCATCAACTGAGGAATGAATAAATAAAATGAATATATTCATGCAACAGAACCTTCCTCAGCACTAAAATGAAACGAAAGGTACTGGTACATGCCGCAACATGAAGGACCCATGGAGACATGGCAAGGACAAGAAGCCAGACCCCCAAAGCCCACACACTGTATGAGGCTATGTCCCGAATAGGCAAACTCATAGAGACAGGAAGCAGAAGCGCCTGCCAGGGGCTGGCCGCAATGCAGAACGGAAAGATACTACTTAAGGGACACTGGGCTTCCTTATGGGATAATGCACATGTTTTGGAATAAAACATGAGTTATTGCAAATATAGTTACAACCAGGAATAGCATACAATCAAACGACTAAAATGTCGAATTTTATATAATAGGAACTTCATTTGAATAAAAAAGGGACAAATTATTTTTGCTAGAAATTTGTTTCTCACAGCCAGAGTTTCTTTTTTCTTAAACTTTTTCTTTTGTGCTTTAATATTAATCCAGAAATATCAAATTCTTTTGTTTCATCTACAGAATGGGATAATAACTGTATTGCTCTATGAAGGTTTTAAGCAGATTAACAGTTATGATGTTTGAAGCACTGACTGACACAACAGCTCTCAATCAATGTTTACTATTGGTAGAACTATTAATATTTGCAGTGTAATCAGGATTATAATTATAATTTCTATTTCTCCCCCAATTAGTATGTAACAGACACCTCAGCAAGTAGTAAATTTATTTGGCTAAAATCAAGTAGGAAAAAGCACAATCTTATGCTTATGTTACTGCTGCTGCTCTAGTATTCAATCCTCCAACACGATCAACAGTTCAGTTTCTGATTAGAATGAGAAGCTAGAGTCTCATTCATATTCATCTTGTTGTATCTGTCACAGAAGGAGGGATCTGTACACCGGAAATTAACCGTTTTATAAGACGCATTATCAGGTCAATGCGAGAGAAAGAACTTCGTAGCAGCTGACAGATCAACCAGGGAATTTTCTGGTTCTGCCTGTTATTAATAAATATTAGCAGGTAATCTGGCTTTAGTGGCGAACTACTGGGAATATTCTATCAGACTTAGTCATATTGAAATACAAGTTAAATGTCAGACCAGTATTATAAACTCGTTTAGATTAGAAACAGCGTTGTTTCTTTCCTTTATGTTCACTACACTTTAGAGGTAATGATAATTGCTCTATCTGACAATAGAGCAAAATATGTCAAAATAGAGTTTTCATGAAGAAGACATATCCAGCAAAATGTATTTGTTTGACAGAATTAAAAAACAACAACAACAAACAATGTTTCATGTTTGTGCAATGCAATCTAGGTCAGGCAGCCATAAAGCAAACAGATAAAATGACAACTGGACTAAGCACTATAAATAGTGCCTGAAGCCACAGATTAAGGACGCATTCTACTGAGTACAAGGTTCTACATGAGTCGTGAGTGGAAGACACTACCCAGTAGTCTTGGTCTTCTGCAATTACTTGGGAAGTTGACAAATATTATCCATGTTCAAGGTAAAATGATAACGTCCAGCAATATACAAATTAAACACATGAACAAATACATGTAGTTTGGGGCTATTAACCAGACTGGCCTTAAAAAGAACTTTCAGGACAAAGGGTCTTCCCAAATTTTCAAATAAAATTTCCTATCTGTGTAGGAAACGGTCAAAAGGAGAATGAGAAAGAGAGCATTCTCTACAGAGCCAAGGGAAGCAGTGTGGGGACTGGGGCAGAGCCTCTGTCATGGTAAGTGTAGTCCTACCTGAGTCTGTGCTTTGCAGCCCCATCCTGAAGCATATCTGCTTGTCACGAAGGACATCAGAAAGGTGTTCAGCAGTCCAGTGTCGTGATGGCCAATCCAAAACCATGTTACAGAAGACGGCAGGTTGTTGCAAAGACATCATGACTTCCTTGGCTTTCTCTGGAGTAAAAGGTTTGATATGCTCACCTGGGGAAATAAATGAATCAAAAGAACAGCAGCTACAGAATTATACAGGTATTTTATATAATATAAGGGAAAACAGCTAAGATTGTTTCTGCTATGGCAAAGCTTTCTAGGCAAACAAAGTGTATTTACATTTCATTTACGACTATTTACATAAATATTTGGCCTCAAAGGACCATAATTATTCCTCATATTAAATTTTAAATGTTGGCAAATACAATTTTCAGTGTCAGAAATAAAGTTTTCATATTTTTTCTTAAGAAAAAGGCTTTCCCACCAGTTCTTTAAAGTAGTTAAAACAAGCAGTTTTTTTTTACATAACAGTATTTCTTAAATAGAAGATTATGTAACAAGTCCTGAGGGAAACTACTCCAAAACAACCAGAGTTGCTGGGTCATCAACAATTCTACTTGCAGAATCACATGTTTATGCCAAAAAGACTACTCAATTAATACAGTACACAATCTTGACAGAGGAGGATTTTAATTGTAAGAATAAAAGATGTGCTAGGATGGAAAGCAGTGATAATTAAGAGGCCATGCCCAAAGAAATTATGTGGTTTACAGGGTACTCAAGTGAATTGTACTGAATCACAGAATATTAATACAAGATAATATTGGGTTGGATAGTAAGGATCGGATTTTTGAAAATTAAAGAACGAGTAAATTTCCCTTTAAAAATATCTTAAGATAAAAGATCTGGGGGAGTGTTAGAAAAAAGCAAGCTACTCTGATGCTCAAAGCATGTATTTGTGGTTCCCACGAACAATCAGCTAGCCCTCTATTTTGGGTACATAATTTGTAGTTAGACTTAATTCAAAAATTGGTAAAAGTTGATCAAACTTTTCCATGACCCAACCTATTCTAAACTGATAAAAGGAACAAGAGTAGGAGAAGGATTCTTCTTAAAGAACTTGAGTAATTTCTGCTTGTCTAGACTCAAATTGTTTAAACAAATAAAAAAAACACAATAACTTGAATCAACTTGGCCTTCTTTCCAAGACCAACAAGGGCAAAAACTTAGAATCCCTTCCTGAGCTCTCAGTGGAAGTGAACAGACTCTGTGCCTTCCGCACCTAACAGTGGAGAACAAACAGGGAAAAGGCAGAAAAGTTGAGGGGCTGCACACAGAAAGAGGGAGAGATGAAAAAAATCTTCAATGTCAAATGACCCTGGCATGTCGGAGAGCCCCAGAAACACATAACATGATGTGACCAGGAGTGAAATCTGCTTTTCTTGACCTAGTTGAGCTTGGGGCAATGCACACACAATAGCTTCACGTTCAAGGCTTTATCCATACTGGCACACATATACAAGGCTACATAGAATGGAATGCACCAGACCCTGCCAGACATGAAGTGGTGCATGGCTTCCACATGTATGAAAGTGAACAGTCATTTTTTTTTTCTCATTACATAAAGTTTTGCCATACTGCTGCAGGAAAGGCAAAAATTCTCCTCTACCCATTTAAGTCTCTGGCAGGTTCATAGGGAGAAAAACACACAAATTTCACTTAGTAAATTTGACATGTACATGGAAATCCCCTCAGGAAAAAGAAAACAGAATTAAGGTTACGGTCAAGCACTTACACCCTAAGTTATTCAGAGGTGTTAATTGTGAAAACATTGCAAGACAAAGGGATATGGACAAGGGTGGTTAATGTAGGAAAGTGAATAGGAAGGTGAGGGTTAGTCAACAAGACTTGTTTGTACAGTTTCACCCAGACTGGTCTCTGATACTTCCCCTTTCCTCCCTCTCCCTAACACAAGGACACCTGCTGCAAGGGGAGTTTTATCTCCTGCTTTGGGGAAGAAAATGAAAGGGCAAAGGTGCTCTTTGCACATCTTTCTTTCTAAAGGGCTGATGATTTAAAATATTTACATAAGTGAAATCTTGGAGGAGGTATTTTTTTAAAATCTTCTACACTAAGAAGATAGAACACATTCATAATACATTCTGTTGTTCATGACACATAACTTGGAACTGTCCTTTGGGAAATAACTAGAAAGATGAACCAGAAGTCTCAGTAAATCATTCACTATTCCAGAGATGGACGGTATAGAATTGAACTTTAACCTACTCATCATAAGCTGAATCTGTAACTCCCTAGATATTCTGACATATTAGATATGGTATGCATACATACACACACATATATATGTGTGTGTGTGTGTATATATAAAATGTCTACTACTACTATCTAGAGTGGAACCGGAAATACAAGTCAAAGCTACAAAACAGGAAAGCCTTTAATAAATTGTGCCACAGCAATCCATGATATATTTATTACAGATAAAAATAAGAGCTCTGTAGAAATAAGTACAGCATGAGACAGCAGCAGGGAGCAGGAACAGAAACTGATTCAGGGAACTGTTCCAACCCAAGTAAGAAGTGGGTTAATAAGGCCCTATGCAATGAGGAGAGGCAGTGAGGAAGGCAGAGATGGTAGAGATGGAGAACTAAGAGATTAACAACAAAGACTACTAGAAACAGATGCAGCCAAAAAGAAGACAGAGGTTTCCACACTTCATGATTTACCAGAAAAGTCAGAATAGCTCACTCTGTCAGGAAGAGAATGAAAAGTTTCATTTTGAAGATGGTACTTATAACACCATGTATTGACCTGCATAATTTCTTATTGCTTATCATGTACTGGTACATGCATTAAACTACAGGTGTTCATCTTATCCTTTAAGAAGCCTATAAACCAGAGATTGAAAAGGCACTTTATATCCTCCATTGCAAAGATGAAATGGAAGCTTAAATGTCACACAAATACCAGATCCCCATATTCCAAGTCCAATGTTCTTTCCACTACCAGAGAATTTAAAATGTGGCACTTAAACTTGGATTGAAAACTCAGGAGAGAAGACTATGAGCTGAAAAGAGATTCAGAAAAGCTTAAGATCAAATCATAGAAAATCATGCATGCTTTGGGCAGAGAAGGATGTTTTGTGGAGGATGTAGGAAGAGGTTTGTTAAACCTGTAACAGAAATTGCCAGTTGCCCACCTACCCAATACACATTCATTTCAGAACAGTACTCTGCATGGGAAAAACTGTTAAAAAAAACTGCATTTCCCAGATGCCTTTGTAAACAAGAGCAGCCAGAGATGGATCTGGGAGTTGCTGAGTCAAACCTTTTGTCCTTATTCTCTCTCCACTGATACGTGCACCAGTGCACTGCCTGGAAACAAGGCAAGGTTGTTAGCCATCTTGGAAGACAAAAGAAAGGACCAGAAATTCACAAGCACTGGTAAAAAGAATGCAAAGAAGTCCACCTTTGTGCCACAGATGCATCACCAGATGACTTCTAACTCTAGAACGTAGAACATAAAGTCAGAAGCTCTAGGGTCAGGATTTGTTTCTGAGGCTTGCTATTTTCAAGGACAATCATGTCTTCTTGATCTAGTACTCTGTGGTTTGGGCTGGAAATATCATGGCTGGTCTGAGCCCCCACAGCATTCTATCAGTTCTGAGGCAATACACTTGCAAAATATTCACTATTTTAGAACTTCACAGAGCAGAGAAAAACAGACTCATCAGTGTCTTGGGGTTAGGGATTTATTTATCCTACTTATTCTGAACCAGAGATGATACACATAGCATGACTTTGGACACTCCCCAAGAGGGTCTCCTATTTGGGAAGATACATCTGACTACAAATATATACACAGGCATTAGTAATACTTGAGTGCTGTTTCAATAACATAGTTTCACAGAAGTAACAATTTTTCTCTAATACATATGTACATACATATTAGTATTTAATGATCTGATCTAAACATCCCAAACCCTCCAGACATTCTTGTGCAGCAGACTGACTTCCAAAACCAAAATTTGCTGAGAAAGTACTTTGCCTGCTGACCAATATATATAAAATGCATAAACATTGCACCATGAATAAAAAGTGCTGTAAAGGATAAAACAGCAGAACATTTACCCTAATGGGAAATTAACATAGTTCCAGAGTTTCAGGCCCATCAGTGAAATAAAATAATCAGCTGGGTGTGAGATAAAACTAATTTGGTTTCTGATAGTTTAGTCAACAATGAACAGGACCATTAAATTAACAACCATAAGTATAACAATTTCCTTTTAAAGAAGAATGAAATGCTGCATGCTATTAATTAAATAGCCTAGGTTTGCACCCAGTCATTCCATCCCAGGAATATTTAAAGACTTATATATAATTATGAAGCAACCTTAACAGCCTTTAAAGAGTAAGTGAATTTTGGCCTAAACTGCAGCAAGCAGCACATTTTAACCAGATAACTTGCAAAGTGCTGAAGAAACTGATTAGAGGTCTAGGTGTTGTACAATAGTGCTGTCTCCCTCCAAGTGTATCATATCATTTAGTCTATCGGTTTTGGCCTTGGCTCCAATCAAACCTTTGGACATGATGAAACACCATCAGAAAGCAACTGTCTTATTCTCAGTAGTTTCTTAAAAAGATCTGTTTATTTGAAAGAGTTGCAGAGAGAGGGAGAGACAAAGAAAGACCTTCCATCTGCTGGCTTATTCCCTGAATTGCTAAAAATGGTCAGCGCTGGGCCAGGATGAAGCCAGGAACCAGGAGCTTCCCCCATGTGTATGGAGGGGCCCAAGGACTTGAGCCATCTTTTGCTGTTTTCCCAGGCCATAAGGAGGGAGGTAATTAGAAGTGGAACAGCTAGGATTTGAACTCCAGCATTGCAGGCAATGCTTTACCTCATACCTTAACATTGGCCTCTCGGTAATTTTCTAAAAAAGATTTATTTTCAACGAAAAGACAGACTTACAGAGAGAAGAAATGACAGAGAAAGATCTTCAGTTCACTGGTTCACTCCTCAAATGGCTGCAATGGCCTGAGTTGAGCTAATCCAAAGCCAGGAGTTTCTACCTGGTCTCCCACACCAGTGCAGGATCCCAAGCACTGGAGCCACCCTTCACTGCTCTTCTGGGTCACAAGCAGAGGGCTGGATGGGAAGTGGAGCAGTGAGGATCTGAACCAGTGCCCATATGGGATTCTGGTGTGTACCAGTCAAGGATGTACCCACTAAGCCATTGCGACAGTTTTTTTTTTTTTTTAACTCATGCAGTACATGATCATTTGAAGCCTGTTTTTTCTGAAACTGCTAACAATCTGGCTTCAGTCAATTAACACCTAAACTGGATTTCTCTCTAAGATTTAGAATATAAAACAAAAATATGCAACACCTACCAGCTTACTAAATATTGATAGAACAAACACAACAAAGACAAAGTCTTTAAAATTAAACTAATTTGCTTCTCATGTCAAGATACAATTCTCTCCAATTCCGGTTTATCTCTATTGCTATTATTTCTTTAAAATTCTATTTATTTGAGAGGCAGGTAAAGGAAGAGAGAAAGAATAAACAAGCACACTCCCACCCACTGATTCACTTAGAAATCTCTATGAGTCAGGGGCCGTGCTGAGCTGGCACCATTACTGCTGCCTTCCAGAGCCTGCATTAGTAACCGGAGGCTGATGGCAGGAGCCAGAGCCAGGAACTGAACCCAGACACTCTGAGAGGGGACATACGTGCCTTAACCAGTGGGCCAGATAAGCCCCCAATATAATTTTGATGGAAAAATTACTAATATGAAAAAGTTTCAGAAGGTGACGAAAGAGTAAGTTGCAAATGCAATGCAGAGACTCACTACAGTGATATGGCAAGAATAAAAAACTGGTAGGGTGAGATAATTCTTTTTGGAATATATGTACGTGCATGTATATAATGGCTTCATCAATCCGAAAACTACTGTATATATACTGAAGAAATTTTAAACCATCTGGAATGGTAGATATTAGATTAAAAATAATAATCGTTACAACTAGTTCAAAAATAAACCTTAATGGGATTATACAAATGCAGTCTAACCAAATGACTGTTTTGTACTGAAGACTAAATGGGGATTTTGTAGCCATTTAGACATTTTAAAATGTCCTCAAAAACTAAGAAAGTTCTGTCAAAAAGTAATTTGCTGCTTAGGCAAATTTCCAAATAGTCATAATCCTGAACCACAAGGCTGATAATCCTGAATTAAAAAGGTGGTGTTCTGCCACTGTTAATGCTGAGGCTGTCAGGACACAGTCTTGCCAATGCCAATGCTGGGCGTGGCTGTGAACACCTAGCCAGGCTCAGCTTGACACAGGGACAGTTATGTCAGAATAGTTATCAATGGGTTACTTTTCATCCTCTTATAACTCTTGCTTAGCTAATCCACAAAATTTGACTTTTCCTCAGAAGACAGTTTACAAGATAATACTTCTAAACTCAAAAGTCATTCTTGTCTTGAACCTAAAGCAAGGAGAAAAATAAATTAAGAGAAGTTAGCACTAAAAAGATTGTATAAAACACAAACAGACTTTACAATGCTCCTAAACATTTTCAAAATTCCTACCAGAATGTTCCCACCTAACTCTAGCCTCCTCTAAGTATGTTTTCTATAACTGAAACAAGCTGGTTATTTTTTATTGTTTATTTTAATAAACTGGTTATTTGAATCTTACTTTTCATTAGACAGTCAACAGTAAGGTCTCAAAGATAAGTGCACAGGCACATTATTGGCAGCACCATGGTAAAAGCCAAATGGTAGAAGCCACCCAGAGCCAGACTGATGAGTGCTACACACAATGAACAGGAGCACTGATCAAAACGAAGCACACCTTGTCACAACGCAGAGAGACAGAAATTAGCCTAGGTCCCTGAAAGAGGTCTGCACCTGCAGAAAGGAATGTGGCAGCCTTGAAAGCAGCCCAGTGTTTACACTAAGAAGTCTTGCTTACATCCAAGTAACTTCCTAGGTAGTCCCCAGCCTTTGCCCCTAAGACAGAACCTCAGGAGAGTCCTCTGCCCAGTCTGGGTAATAAAACCTTGGAAGGTAGTTCATGTATAACACAACTAGCAACCCTTCTGGCAAAACAAGGTAGGGGGAAGGAAGAATGATAAGATGGCCTGGGACCTGGTCCCTTGCAGGCCCCAATCTTCAATGCAGACGTGTGCTCAGCTTTCCGTTCTTGCTGAGATGCCCACCTGGTCTGTCAGGTATATTTTCTTCATTAAACCTTGCCGTCGTGCTCACCCTAGGGCTGAATGGCTGGGCACTTTTGGATTTGCCTGTAGAGGTGCCCATCAGTTCTGACAGACACACTGTCCCCTTCCTTCCTTGCTCACCACTCTTGTCTCCCGCTTGAAGCTCTTTTCTAGAGAGAAGACAAGCACCTCTATTCCAGATACTTTCTATAATCTTCTCCGTAAACAGACAAGCACAGCCAGGACAAATGCAAAAGCCCATCAGAAAAAACGATGGTAACCTCTGTCTGAAAGGCCGAACCAGACTCAACTGTAGTTCTTCATTTCACCTTGGCAATGCCTTGCTCTAACACTTGTGAGAAGCAGAAACCCCATGGTCTCTTTCTTCCTCCTGTCAGCATCTACTTCCCTTCTGCTGATCATCCTTTTTCACTTGTGACCTGGGTCCCCACTTGCAGTGTAGTTGACTGGCCTCCTCTCCTGCCTCTGGCCCTCCCACCTACAGGCCTGCGGCTTTACTCTACTCACCCGCACTCAGCCTTACTCCCTCTCAGACGCTGAGACCCTGATGTGTAATATTTATATTCCAATCAACTGTACCCTACCTTGTGGCTGCATCTAACAACTCTGCTTCCTTGATAGTGGTATTTATAACATGACTGAGGATGTGATTTAGAAGGCCTTTCACCTCTTTATGTGTGCATTCAAATATTTTGTGATCACAAGTGGTAATATTTGTTCAAAAATGAACTTTCCTAGGACTCCTGCTGTTTTCATTACTGTGTTTAACATACTCTCTTACCTGCACCTGTTTAATGTATGTCTGCTTCCTTCCCTACACTCTCATCAGCCATATCTAATTCAAGGCAAGATCTTCGCTAACAAGACGATTTTGCTCATTCAGCTCATTATAAACTGGATAATATATATATATATATTATATTATTATATCAGATATATATATATATATATATATCAGAGTCTCAAAGATAAGTGCACAGGCACATTATTGGCAGCACCATGGTAAAAGCCAAATGATAGAAGCCACCCAGACTTATATCTTATATAAGTCTTATATCTTATATAAGTCTTATATCTTATATCTTATATATCTTATATATATATCAGAGTCTTCTGAAGTGCTGTTTCAGGACAGAATGAGTTAAAAATAGAGCTGTAAGTTCCAGACATAAGATAAGATTCAGGGATCCTCTGAGACAAATATTTGGGGTTGCCTGTAAAAATCTGTGTGTATTGTGCGTATTTTTCTGGGGAGCAAATCTATACTTCACATCAAATGTTTTTCTTTCTTAGGAAATGAATGTTTTCTACATCAGACATTCAGGGCCATGGTAAGAGGTTGCGGGGATGACTACCATCCATCAGAACCCCGGGTTCCAACATGCCCGAGGTTCTGGTTTCCTGCTGATGGGCTTCCTGGGAGGCAGTGGTAATGGTTTAAGTAGCTGGGTCCCTGTCACCCACATGGGAGGCCAGGATTGCATCCCAGTTCCTGGAGTCAGCCTGGCTCACTGCTGTGGCAGGTATGTGTCAAGTAACCAGAAATAGGGGCTCTGTCTTTCTATCCCTCTCTCCTTGTTTATCTGCTTTTCAAACAAACAATAAACAAACAAACATCTTCCTCAAAAAGTTAAAGTTACCACATGATGCAGCAATTCCAAGCTTAGATAGTTGTCCATGAGAACTGACAATATATATTCACACACACACACACACAAATGTTCACAGCAGCACTGCTCATACAGCCAAAAGTGGATCCGTCAACTGATGAATGGATAAACAAACATGGTAGATGCACACAATGGAATATTATTCAGCTATAAGAAAGAAAGCAAGTGTTGATGCATGTTACAACTTCGAAAAACCTTGAGAAACAAGGTTATGTGAAAGAAGCCAGACACAAAAGGACACACAGTGCATAACTAGTACATGAAATATCCAGAAGAGGAAGAGCTATAAAGTCAGCATAGATCAGTGGTTACCTGAATCTGGAGGAATGGGTTTCTTGTGGACATAGATAAAAATATTCTGAACTACAGTAGTTAGAGCTGCATAACTTGTGAAACATCAAACTGTATGTTCTCAAAGGCTGAAGTCTGTAGTATGTGAATACAATAAACACAAACCTTTAGCATCCTCAGCTGCCTGCCCGATACCTGCTTTTGCATCATCCTCCATACCTAAGCTCCACATGGTCACATTAAAGCTCACTGTTGCTCCTCTACTTCACATTGCTAGTTTATACCTAGGCTTTCAGAATGCAATCTTTCTTCTTTAAAGATTTATTTAAATACATAAAAGACAGAAGTTACAGAGAGAAATATCTTCTGCCCATTGGTTCACTGGGTGGGTTCAAAGTCAAGAACCAGGAGCTTCTCCCAGGTTTATCATGTGGGTAGCAGAGGCCCAGGCCACTTGGACCATTCTCTGCTACTTTTCCAGGAACCCCAGTAGAGCTGGGAACATTACCCAGTGCCCACATGTCCCAGGAAGTAGCTTTACCCCCTATACCACAATGCTGGCCACAGACTGGAAAATCTCACAAGTCATCCCCAGTTTTGGTTCTTTTGCTTTTGCTTTTGTTTTTTCCTCTTGCTTTCAACATCACTTGGCTGGTACTTTCTATTAATAATGAAAATAGTCACCGTTTTGGAATACTTACAGTATGCTGGATGACCTGTCATGTTGTGTTTACGTTTGTAATAACAATTGTGCATTTTGCAGAGGAGGATCCAGGGCTCATCCTTTGGCCTTTCTCCTTCTGCCCGACCACCCTTCACCACAGTGATCTGCCTCAAACTAGATCTGATCATGTTGCTCCCACACCTAATGCACCTCAGAGCCTCCCCCACATCTTCAAGTCCAGGCTCAGCAATGGGCATGAAGTCACCCTTCAGGACTTCTTCTGTTTTCACTGCTCCTCACATCAAGTTCTTTCCATTCCTGGCCTGGAGAGACACACCACAGCAAACACGAAGCCAAGTATCAGGCAGATTCACTAGTAGTTTAGGGGAGGAATGTAGACATGCTGCAGCAGAGTCTGGGTGTGCAAGAAGACACCAGTAGACAGAATAAATGCAGGATTGGCCTGACTCTCAAAGTTGTTAGCTCGAAATAAGAAGTAAAGATAGAAAGGATCTGGAGTTTGGGGAACTGTGGTTAGAGACAGATCTGAAAGATGTTGGGCCCATATTGGGTGACGAGTCACGAGGTGGGCCATTTCTTTCTTTCTTTCTCTCTTTCTTTCTTTCTTTCTCTCTTTCTTTCTTTCTTTCTTTCTTTCTTTCTTTCTTTCTTTCTTTCTTTCTTTCTCTCTTTCTTTTTGTTCTTTCTCTTTTTCTTTCTTTCTTTCTCTCTTTCCTTCTTTCTCTCTCTCTTTTCGTTCTTTCCCTTTTTCTTTCTTTCTCTCTCTCTCTTTCTTTCTTAGATTTGCCTATTTTCTTATTGGAAAGTCAGATTTTACAAAGAGGAGAGACAGATCTTCTATCTGCTGGTTCACTCCCTAGTGAACGGCCAGAGTGGTTGCAACGGCCAGATGTGATCTGATCTGAAGCCAGGAGCCAGAAGCCTCCCAGGCATGTGCAGGGTCCCAAGGCTTTGGGCAGTCCTGGACTGCTTTCCCAGGCCACAAGAAGGGAGCTGGATGGAAAGTGGAGCAGTCAATACACGAACCAGAGTCCATTCTGGAGCATACAAGACAAGGACTTTAGTTACTAGGCTATCCTGCCGGGCTTGCCATTTCATTTTATATACAACAGGGGTAGGTGTAAAGAAAGTAAAACCTGGGGGGTGGCTTTTAATATGATGACTCAATGGCCAAATCCTCACCTTGTACTTGGTCTTAGTCAAGAAGCAAATTCTCACCTTGCAAGCATCTGGATCCCATATGGGTGCCAGTTCGTGTCCCCACTTACCATCCAGCTCCCTGCTTGTGACCTGGGAAAGCAGTAGAGGATGGCATAAAGCTTTGGGACCCTGCATCCACGTGGGAGACCTGGAAGAAGCTGCTGGCTTTGAATCAGCTCTGCTCTGGCCATTGCAGCCATTTAAGGCGTGAACCAGCAGATGGAAAATCTTCTGTCTCTTGTCTTTGTAAATCTTATCTGCCTTGCCAACAAAGAAAGAAATTGAAAGAGAGAGATAGAGGAAGGAAGGAAGGAAGGAAGGAAGGAAGGAAGGAAGGAAGGAAGGAAGGAAGGAAAGAAAGGAAAGGAAAAGAAGAAAAGAAAGAAAGAAGGAAAGAAGGAAGGAAGGAAGGAAAGAAAGGAAAGGAAAAGAAGAAAAGAAAGAAAGAAGGAATGAAGGAAGAAGGAAGGAAGGAGAGAAAGAAGGAAAGAAGGAAGGAAGAAAAGAAAGAAAGGCAAGGAAAAGAAGAAAAGAAAGAAAGAAGAAAAGAAAGAAAGAAGGAAGGAAGGAAGGAAGGAAGGAGAGAAAGAAGGAAAGAAGGAAGGAAAAAAGGCAGGCAGGCCGACCTTGGGTTCATCCTGAGCACGGTCCAGAATAAGAAGTGGGAAGGGACAAGAGAATAGTGTATTTCTCAAGAAACAGCTCCCAACAGTACATGAATACATTCAAAACTGGATATGGGGTGCAGTGGACAGAAAATGCAAAGATCGGTGCATGAGAGGTATTCATGCAGTCTTTCTGGCATATGTACGCGAGGGAGGGATCTAACAGCAGGAGAGAGTGGTCAGCAGGCCTAGCTCCAGCTTGACTCTGGCATTTCCATCTCTAGACAACACCCACCATGCGCTTCCCTGCCTGCTTGTCGCTCATTCACTCTTCAGCAGCACTGGTTTTCGCTACCAGGATCCCTCCGGATGGCGCAATGCTGGCGGGACACAAGGGGCCACACGGACTAGTGACACCCACACGAGGTGTCCCACGAGGCAACATCCAGGCCGGGTCCCGACCGGGTCCCAGTGCAGTTAGTGCAGTTACCCAATGAATGCCGACAGGGATGCACAGGCTCTGGGCTTGCAAACCTCTCGCCTTCACTAAACCTGGGTCCCACCAAAACCGTCCCCTCTGTTTATCTCCAAGCTCACACACTTCACCATAGCCCCGTACATTCAAAACACCCCGCAACTTGGCGGGGTCAGCAGCCCAGTCCGCGAAAGCACACGTTCACCACACAGCAAACTGCCTTTCTTCCCAGTCTCACTTCCAGGCCGGAGGGACTCGGCGGCGCCAAGCGAAGCCCTACGGTCGGACCTCCGCGGGACACCTACCTCCCTGGGCCTTGCCCGCTCCAGTCGCGAGGGTCTGGGACGCGCGGGGATCCGAGCCTGTCGCCATGGCGACCGCGAGCGAGCCCGGCAGCGCCGACCCTCACGAGCCACGCCGAAGTTCCCGAACCTCCCGGCACCGCCCGCGCCGGCGTGACGCGCTCGGGGGGCGGAGCCACGCAGCTGTGTTTGGATTGCCGAGTTGTTGACACACAGCGCACACGTGGCCTGGGCTGGGCGCTGGTCCCTTCCTCAGACCTTAGCCTGCCCACGCCGGATCCTTCCCCGGCTCTGCTTCTGCTTCCCTGTGCCTCGGCTTCTCCTCCAGCACCCCCAGAGGATCGGAGTGCTGGCTTTGTAGGGCGGCCGAATGGATGGGGCTGAAGCCTCAGGTGCTTCTCTTCCTCCTCTGTCGTCCTGCCAGCAGCAATGTGACTCCACCTGTTTTCCGTGACTCCCTGGAAATACGAGCCTCGGGCAGTGTCCCTGACTGCGTTCCAGTGACTCAGATGGCTTGGCCTGGGTGTCCAAGGACGCTGACAGACACCTGTCAGGCTTCTGCGTGTGTGTATCAAAATCAGCAGACAGCTGTGCTCGCCAAGAGATCAACAACCTACTCCCTTCCCCGTCCTTTCTTCTGATTGACTTTCCGTCTGGTCAGAAATCAGAACTGGAAATGTATCTAGGTCCCTCGGTGGGGGACGGGGCTAGAACCCCTTCACCCTCAACTGACGTCTTTCTTTGCTGACTTAACTATCTTTCTTGGGTGTGAGTGAACACGGCTAGTTTATGATCTCTCCTTGGACAGGTCAGACACAAAGACCGCGGATACAACTGGGGCGGTGCTTGCTGTACACAAAGAACAAAGAAATGACTGACGGGAGATAATCCCCTGGGGTCCCCTCCATCCTGTGTCTGTCTCCCCCGGTAACTTCTAAAGTTATGAAAACCGTAAAAACGGGCGTTCACCCCGCCTAGAAGGCGGCAAGGGGCTGAGCCACCTGAGGTCACCCAGTTGTTGAGTAAACACACGCAGTAAACTTTGGGGCACTTCCACTTTTGGGGCTACTACAGGCTGCTGGCCCGACCTCCTGCAAGACTCAGCCTTCCTTCTCGGGGCCCGCACGCGCTCCTCCCTCCCGGACCTTGGCCGGGGACGTGGCGGGGACCCCGGCGGGGCCCTCACCCGCAGCCAGGGCGGACCCCGGCCTCCTCCCTCCCGCCCCGCCTCTCGCTCGCGCAGGCGCAGCAGGCGCAGCCGCGAGGCCGAGGGAAGCCCACACAGCCAGGGACAGAGCCTCCCGCCTCGGCCGGGGGTGCGGTGTGCTGGCCGGCGACGACCGGGAGCGACCGCGTCGGGCGGGCCCTCGCGGGCTGCGCGTCGCCATGGGCTCGGGCTGGAGCAGCGAGGAGGAGCGGCAGCCGCTGCTGGGGCCCGGGCCCGGCGCCGGGCCAGCGACTGGCTGGAGAAGCCGGGAGGCGGCGGCCGCGGCCGCGGCGCTGCCCGTGGTGGCCCCGGGTCCCGGGCGCGTGTACGGACGGCGCTGGTTGGTGCTGCTGCTCTTCTCGCTGCTCGCGTTCGCGCAGGGCCTGGTCTGGAACACCTGGGGCCCCATCCAGAACTCGGCGCGCCAGGCCTACGGCTTCTCCAGCTGGGACATCGCGCTGCTCGTCCTCTGGGGACCCATCGGTTTCCTGCCCTGCTTCGCTTTCATGTGGCTCCTGGACAAGAGAGGTGAGGAGTTCGCGGGGGGCCCGGCGGGTGCTGCCGCTGCAGTTCCTAGGGGCACAGGCACCTGCCCGCCTCCAGGCCTGCCAGCCACCTCCCTCGCTCAGCTCATCTGCTCATGGCTCATCGGCGGGGTAGTGTGAGGAGACCTGGTGTTATTGACATCTCCCTGCTGACTTAGGAACCCTCCGTCCCCAGGGCAACGAATGTGGGAAGCCTGCTATTGTATTGTACTTTATTATTATTATTTTTATTTTATTAAGGTTCCCCGTGTGGCTACACACAGGATTTTGATCAAGTTGTTTCTTATTGTGGACGTCAGCGCATTCTCGCGCACGTGCCGGGTGTGCGTTTGACGCCTGACCCAAATGACTAACGCTTCCACTTCAAAGGGATTTGGGGTGTCTGGGATGAAAAGTCGGATATCAGAGCAGTGATGCCCAGATGTCAGGAAGTAATGAGTTGTTTTTGTGCAGGGATAGACGACTGTGGCCTGGGAAGGGACGCTCTGCCGTGACTAGTTGGTGCTGGTGGCAGTTTTGTGGCTTTTTGGCTGAAGGCTGTGGCTCTCAGACAAAGCTGGTGGATAGCCCTATCTAGAGGGGCTTTCTGGACCCTGGGCTTTACCACTTGCTAAGGGGATTCCCTGAGAAGGGGAAGGAGGTGGAGGCAGGAAACTCAAGGCCGTGAATTGCACTGGAGAAAGTGTGGGCTTGGGATTGTTAGGGATGCTCCGGCCCCTTTATGTTTGATGGTTGGATCGTGTTGGGGAACCATGTGGTATGATTCATGAGTTCATATTCTGTAAATTTTGCTGAAATGAGTCCTTTAGACATGTTTGGGAAGTTGTCCGCTGGAGCTGCTGTGATGAAATACCACTTACTGGGAATCTTAAGAAGAGCAGATTTGTTGCTCAATCGTGGAGCCTGGGAAGTCCACCGTGAAAATGCCAGGAGAGTCCATAACCTGTGAGGGCTTGCTCACTTTTTTTTTTTTTTTGAGATTTACTTATTTTAATTGGAAAGCAGATATATGAAGAGGAGAGAGAAAAATCTTCCATCTGTTGGTTCACTTTCCCAAATGGCTGCAATGGCCAGAGCTGAACCAATCTGAAGCCAGGGACCAGGAGCTTCCTCTGGGTTTCCTATGTGGGTACACAGTCCCAAGGCCTTGGGTCATCTACTTTCCCAGGCCACAAACAGGAAGCTGGATGGGAAGTGGAGCAGCTGGGACACGAACTGGTGCTTATATGGGATCCCCGGGAACCTGTAGGTGGAGGATTAGTCAATTGAGCCATCTTTCTGGGCCCTCTCTTTTCCTTTTTAAAGGTTTGTTTCATTCAATTGGAAGTCAGAGCTACAGAGAAAGGGTGTGGGAAAAGACAGAGAAATTCTTCATCGATGGGCTCACTTCCCAGATTGCTACAAAGGCTAGGACTGGGCCAGGCTGAAGCCACAATGCTGGCCCCAGGGATTGCTCTTTTTCTTTCTTTTTTTTTTTTTAAGATTTCTTTTTTTTTTTTTTAATTCCAAAGTCGAATATACAGAGAGGAGATGAGAGAGAGAGAGGAAGATCTTCCGGAGTGACCGCAACGGCTGGTGCTGTGCCGATCCAAAGCCAGGAACCAGGAACCTCTTCCAGGTCTCCCACACGGGTGCAGGGTCCTAAAGCTTCGGGATGTCCTTGACTGCTTTCCCAGGCTACAAACAGGGAGTTGAATGGGAAGTGGAGCTGCTGGGAATAGAACTGGCACCCATATGGGATCCCAAGGCGTTCAAGGCGAGGACTTTAGCTGCTAGGCCATTGCGCCGGGCCCGAGGGATCGCTCTTTGAAAAGGGTATTTATCCTCCTCATGGGAACTCTGCTTTTAATAACCTGGAAAGGAGTCATCCTCCCAGACCCTAATTCTATCACTTTGGCAGTTAGGATTTAAACATTTGAACTTCAAGGAGACACAACATTCAAACCATAACCAATGTAAAGTATAAATAGGTACAGAATTGCAGTTTTCTCATGCATTTACATTCATAAATTTTTATTAAAAGCAGCTATGCCCCTCCTTCATACCCTTGCCCCCCAACAGTTCCTTCATAGGAATCCTAGGAAAAAGGAGTAAGGAACTGTTGATTGGGAATTCATATTAACAATGTGATGTAGGGAGGACAATGTTAGGCATAGAGACTGTGTCCAAAACAAAAAGAGAAATAGTTCCTCAGCTCCATCATAGAGTGTCCTTCTGAGCAGGGATTTTAAGAGGCCCTTGGACAAACTGGATTGCTTTCCAAGTTGTGTGACAATAATAATAAAAGGTCTAAAAACCATGATGCATACCATGAAGCAGAAAGGGTGTGCCTCCCTTCGGAGAAAATCACCACATTGACTGTAGACCATATATATGCAGGGCAAGTAAAATAGGAATTGGGCTCCCTATGCATCGTTCTAGAAGGAAGAGCTAAATGAATAAAGTTACCAATCAGGGAAACTCAAAGCAGCCCAAGGCAGAACCTTCTCGTCACAAAAGACATCTAGCGAGGATGTGGGCACTACTGGTGCAGGAGTGCCAGGTAGAGCTGGTGTGTGGGCAGAGGGTGTGAGCTCCAGGCTGAGAAAGGGTTCTTTGTCCCAATTGGAGATTATCTTTGTTTGGGGTTGTTTTATTGGCATTTAAATATAAGCCACGTGGATTTTGTGGGTTTCTGCACAACTTATGCTTTGCTTGGTTTGTTTTTGTTTGTTTGTGTTTCCGGATTCCATCTCTGCATTTAGTGTTGGTTTGTCTCCTCCCATTGGTAGCAATTCCTTGGTGGCTCCAGAACAAGGTTGGCTACATTTATTGGTGTCAAATGACAGTATTACAGCAAGCTTTGTAGATCTGGCCAGCTCTTAGGGGCAGTTCCTAAATGAGAGCAGGAAGGCACACACCTGCGAAGCAGGGGCAGAAAACTTGAGGTGTGTGAACTAGAAACCAGGAACCAGAACCATAAGGGAGAGAAAGCGATTGGTTAGCTGCTTGTGATTTTTTGGCACAGGTTAAAACAAAAAGCACTCCCTTGTTACTCACTCTGGTAGGCTGGAAACTCTTGTTTTCAGGAAAAACTGGTTTGTTTTGATCATTCTATCTCCTTACAGTTTCAGCTTGATTTTCTCCTGTTTAGCAAAAGGGGTTCCATTGTTATTTTGTTTGTTTTATTTTATTATGATTAGCCAGATAAGTAAGAAATTACCTCTGCATTTCATAAACGAAGTTACTTTAGATGTTATTTCAGAGTTCCTATCACTAATTTTATCTTTTCTGTTGGTTACAGCTGTGGAAGATAAAGTTTAAAAATTCACTAAGGCTAATGTATGGCTGTTCAAAAAGTTCATGGGGAATGAATATTATGAAAAACTGTACTTTTTTGGCTACAACAGTTACTATTTTTTATTTTTAAGAAAATTACAGAGAGACAGGGATAAACTAAGAGAGAGATCTATTTGCTGGTTCACTCCCCATATGATCACAGTGACTGAATCTGGGTGTTCCAAAGCCAGGAACCATAGCTTCTTTCTGGTCTCTCACATGTGTGCAAGGGTGCAAGGCTCCGTGTATTTAGGCCTTCCTCCACTGCTTTCCCAGGCATATTAGTAGAGACTTGGATCAGAAGTACTTGACCTGGTACCCTAATGGAATGCCAGTAGCATGGACAATAGGTTTACGCACTATGCCATAGCACATATCATCCTCACCCCCCAGTTATCTTTTTTTTTTTTTTAAGGTTTATTTATTTTTATTTGGAAAGCAGAGCTACAGAGAGAGAAGGAGAGACAGACCATCTTTCCATTCTCTGGTTTACTCCTCAAATGCCTGCAAGGGACTCAACTGGGCCAGTCAGGAGCCAGGAGCTTCTTTTTCATCTTCTATATGGATGCAGGGGCCCAAGGACTTGGGCCATCTTCTGCTGTTTTCCTAGATGTATTAGCAGGGAGCTGGATGGGAAGTGAAGCAGCCAGGACTTGAACCAGCACCCCAATGAGATGCTGGTGCCACAGGTGAAGGCTTAGCCTACAATGCCATAACACTGCCTGTCCCCCCCTCCCCCCACTGAGTTATCTTTTAATCCCATTTTTCATGAACATGTTGAAGTTTGTCATATACCTCAGTGGGGTTGGCTATCTTGCCACTGGTGTACTATTTGTATATACAGAAAGCAAGCTGTCAGCTTTCTCTGGACACTAAAATACTTTGCTCCTGATAGGTAAATAGTGTCTGCCCTGTATGCTGCCATGGAGCTTGCTCAACTGACCATGGAAGACCACATGTCTTCCCATGATGCATTTGGTGCCCTCTCACCCCTTTTCATTCAGCAGTAAGAAGACAGGAACAGACTAGCTGGTTAAATTTTAGGAGAGCCAAGAGTAGCTGTGCACTAAAAAGCCAAGTGGGAAAAGTTTCAGGGCGAGAGCTACCCACTCTGTGCTGAGCATCAGAGACAAGGACCTCCTGATGGAGACCAAGATGGCAAACAGTAAAATTCAAGAGTAACTGTGCCAGAGGCTGATAAATGTTTGTTTTTTTTTGGGGGGGGGGCGGCAAATAAAACAGGGAAAAGGAGGAAGGGGATGTCAGGTGATACTCTACTTTGTGCAGTGAGTCAGGGAAGGCCTCCTACTTGCTGTGTGTTTGGGCAGACACCTGAAGTACAAAGAAAGCCTGATGTATTAATTATGAACAACTGTATTTTTGTCCAAGGCAATGGCCAAGGCAGAGATTGTATGCTTCTTTACCATAAACAGTAAACAGCAAGGAGGCCTGTGGGAAGTGGGAACCAGAGGGAAGAGATAAAGTCAGAAAGGTAGTCGGGGCTGCATCATGCTGGGCCTTGTAGACCATGGTGAGGATGTTCACCATCAAAGGGTGAGTAGGGCTTCCCCCATGGACAGGCTTTGGGGAGGAGAATAAAATGATGACTGTGTTGTCATCTAGAGTAGGAGCAGAGCAGGGAAACCAGTAAGGCTGGTGAAGTGG